ATAGGTCTTTACACATGGGCAGGTACTGCAGAACGATGGGGGAAAATCGTCGTTGGGTGTCATCCACCTGATCCGATATCCGCTCGTTTTCTCAAGAGAATTCCCCAGTTTATTATACTGGGGGGCGAGATGGTGGCTCTGCTCCCAGCAGGAGTTGGGTGCTGGCTCCACAAGGCTCTCAAGAGCCTCCATGTCTTCAGCAGCTACTAATGATGCCCTAATCTTAAAATAAATGAACATAACCCCAGCATTATTCCCTTGTAGGGGCAGCCAGGGCGATGGGGGGTGCGTGGTGACGCCTTGTCCCTCTTGTATCTCCGCAGTGTGGGTGCAAGAGCTGCGGGCGATCGTTCTGCTCCGGCTGCCTCGGCTTCTGCCGCGTCGGGGCTTTTTTTTCCCCGCTGCGGGAGCGCTCAGCAGAAGGTGTGCAAGCAGTGTCACGGGAAACTGACTGGGTAAGGCAAGAGTGTTTCTTCGCCCAAGGACAGCGTGCTGCTTTGTTTCTTCGTTTTGCATCCCCATATTGTCTTGCAGGTTTCTGCGTCGGAGCTGTGCCGTGCGCTTTTGGTTCAGGCTGCCTGTACCTGGAGTTTCAAGCCATGCTGTTATTGAACTGCTGTTATGTGGGCTGTGTTTTCCAAAGATAAGAATTGTAAGGCTCTTCGCTTCCCAGAACAGAGTAGTCTGAAAGAACCAGGTTTAAATCTTCAAGGATAAGTTAGCTAGATGAGACTAGGCTAAGATCCGCCCCGTTTTTGCCTAGAAATCTACACCCCCTTGAAAGCACTTACAGACTTTTCAGATATGTGGTAGTTGAAGGCTCTGAGGAGACCTTATTGTGGCCTTCCAGTATCTCAAGGGAGCCTACAAGAAAGCCAATGAGGGACATCATAGGATGTTGGGTAGTGATAGGACTAGAGGGAATGTATTGAAGCTGGAGATGGATCGGTTCAGGCTGGACGTTAGAAAGAAGTTCTTCCTCGTGAGGGTGGTGAGACCCTGGCACAGGTTGCCCAGAGAGGGGGTGGCAGCCCCATCCCTGGGAGTTTTTAAGGCCAGGCTGGATGGGGCTCTGGTAAACATGGTCTAGGAGGAGATGTCCCTGCCTATGGCGGGGGGCGTTGGAACTAGATGATCTTTAGAGTCCCTTCCAACCCTGACAATTCTATGATTCTATGAATGGCCTGACAATAAGATATTAAAAATGTTACTACCTCTATGGGCAGACAGTGACACAAATGCTCATTGCTATGGGGTCTCCGCTGTGTGTAACCTGAAGATGTAAAATCTTATAGCATAAAATCCGTTTGCTTTTAGAAGAAAACATTTGCAAAGGTGACTTGTAGGTTGCCTGTTGAAAACAAAAAAAATGTAATTCAGTAGCAGTATGGGTTATATGTATGAACAAGTGACCCAAGCACAATGTACGTCAGAATCCCTCTCTCAACCTATTTTTCGGTGTCCTTCTTTCTCTGGCATTTCTCTGGCCTCTCTTCCCCACTTCTGTCCTGTAGCAAGGAATTTACGCCAGAGAATGGGGAATCTTTTGGCTCTGCAGGTGTCTAAAGGTGAAGAACCTGCTATTGGCAGATCTTAATATCAGAAGCACTGGCTCATGGAAGCAGTGTGAGCTGATGGTGAAAATACACTATTCAGTGTTTCGGTTTTGAAATTTCCTGATTTGCCTTTACAACTCCAAAACCGCTGAGAAAACAGGACACCCTTTCTCCATGTTTCCTCTCCATGTTTTTTTTCCTGTTTAATATCAGCAGTATAGAGTTAGAGCAGAAGAAATCCTCCGTTACTGGGTAGCAGACAGATAATACATGTAGGATGCAGCTCTGTACACTGCATGTATTATTCGTCCTGTAAATAGCTTTCAGAACTGAAACCTGAACACTGGAAAGCAGTCCCACAATGTTGCATTCATTCTTTACGGTACAGGCCTTACCACAGTGCACACACATTTGTAGCTGTGACTTCTAAGAATGAATAAAATTTGTATAATAAGTATGTAGCTTAGCAGGTCAGCCTGAGTGCAGCAAAGCAGAAGGGAGCTGCACACAGTGTTTGTGGTGTGCAGTGTTTGAGTGTGCTAGAAGGTGTCATTATGATACTGGTTATATAATATTTTTTTAGCATTCGGGTTAGCTTGTGCATTATGTAATTCTGTGTTTGTTTCATGCCACAGCTCCTTTCAGGGTGTTCTGCTGCGTGGAAGATAATTACACCGGGAGTCTTTCCTAGCTGCTCTCTATCAGCTCTGTGAACTGGGAGGTGCAGGCTGTAGGAGGCAAGGGTATTTCAGCCCCACCTCCTTGACTGCATTAAATCACATTTTGTCCAGATGCAAAACTTGACCAAAGGACTAGATGCGAAGTCCCCTGCTGTCAAAGGCAGCTCTATTATCTTAATCCCTTCCATAAGCTGATCACTCTCCATATTAATGAGGTTATGAAAGTACCTGTACCAGGAGGTTGAGAAACATATACCCATTCCTCTTGAGTTGAGAGACAAGGTGACGGAAGCATTGCCAGTATTCTGAGTTCAGAGAAATTGTTGGTTTTGTCTTCCAGAGAGGGATCTCAAAGCAGTTCAGCAAAATGGTCGCCACCAGAAAACTACAAAAAGTGAGTTGCACTTACTAATCAGACGGTTGTTTCTGCCGCAGAGTAACCTTTCAGGCCCTCACTCCTCTTGTCCTCCAGAGAGCAGCAGAAGTGGGGGTTGTGATGTCGTATTTGCTTGTTCAGCATTAGATCAAGGATGGGGCCTTTGTTTTGTTGTGTGGGGAGGAGGGGCACATGCTCTTTTGAATAAACTTCTGAACAGCCACCTGTGACTGACCGGGGTTGGCTTGGAACCAGGAGCCTGGTGATGTGATGTTCCTTGTCTCCTTGGAAGTGGTGCCAGGTGTGCTGCTCCTGTGAGCTCAGGTTTATCCTTACTCTTGGGAGTAACCTCATTGTGAGCACGTGGGCAAGCCTGCTCCAGGAGGGAGTGGTTTCTGTTCTGTTCTACACCAATGTTCTTCAGATGCCCGATTGCGTTGACGGAGGGTGTTTTCATATCAAGGCTTAAACCCCTGTTCTCAGTTGTCATGTCTGTCTTCCATCCTTGTCACAGGCGTGTAGCAGCTTTTGAGGCTAAGCAAAACCAGCTGAAAGAACAACAGAAGGCAGCTGCAAAGCCCCCGGATCAAGCAGGCTCCAGATACCAAGGGCTCTCAAAAGAGGATAGAGCTATTGCAGAGAGACTGGAGAGGCTCAGGGAGGAAAGGAAACCAAGTGAGTTTGGGAGGACACTGGAGATACCTCTAATGGGAACACTGCTACTCAGGAAACGTGGAACCTGGAGGGGGAGGGAAGTGCTGGTTTTTCAGAACCTGCCTTTTTTGGGAATTGAAGGGTTAAAATTGGATAGGGCATCCATGTCATGCTGCCACAATGGACAGATTCTACAATAAATTTAGATTAATGTTCTGATTTCTTTTTGCTTCTTGGGTTTTCCTTTGAAACTGCTTCTCAGTTTTGGGGTAGCATCTTACCTGTAAAATCACTTTCTTATTCTCTTTTTGAGGGGGTAAAAGCTTATGTCAAGCCCATCAGAAAGAGAATCGAATGAGAGTCTTTGGCCAAACTGTTTTGCAGAAGGTTTCCTGGGGGTCATTGCCCTGGGCAGCAGCAGTGTCACTCTCTGTGGGATTATGTTCTGGCCAGCCTTGCCTCTGAGGGGAGAAAAAGGACTCTTATCCCAGTCCACAGCTGTCAGGTTCTGGGACAGTCTTGTGGTGCTTGTGGGAGAACAAATTGTTTTTAAAATTGTATGCGGTCTCTGAAAGTGGAAAGAACACACTGCAGAGTGGGTACCTGATTATCATAGAATTGTTTAGGTTGGAAAAGACCTTTAAGATCATCGAGTCTGCCTGTTAACCCAGCACTCCCAGATCCCCCACAAAACCATGTCCCTAAGCACCACATCTACATGTCTTTTAAGCATCTCCATGGATGGAGACTCAATCACCTCCCTGGGCAGCCTGTTCCAATGCTTGACAACCCTTTCAGTGCAGAAATTTTTCCTAATAGCCAATCTAAACCTCCTTTGGTGCAGCTTGAGGCCATTTCCTCTTGTCCTGTAATGTGGTGGGAGAGGGTTTCAGTTTGATACCCCTAGGATTACATTAAGAGGTGTGGGAGCAGTGGACTGCAGTGCCTAAATGACACTTAATTCTCTGCCTGTCTCTAGTATCCTAAGTAAGCTGATTGCCAAATGGCATTACCCTAATACTTGCCTTGTGGCTGAGAGATGAACTGTGAAGAAGGCGAGGGCTCGGAAGGAAAAGGCAGCAGTTTGTGTTGCAGTCTCTGAGTCGCTGCAGTATTCATCTTGGGGTTTGAGGGAGGTTTTTGCTCTGGTGTTCAGAGTTCAATTCCAGAAAGAAATACAGTTTTAAGAAAACAGGTACATTGAAGCCTTTTGGTTTTGATAACTGAGTAATCTCCTCCCTTGGGTTATTCGGAATTGCAGAGTCCATCCCTACTCAGGCTGAGATCGAAGCCAGGCTCGCTGCCCTGAAGGAGGACTGCCAGCGACCTGTTCCATCCACAAAGGAAATGGAGGAGCGCTTGGCTGTTCTGCAGGGGAGAGATCCTCTTTCCCAGGCTCCCAGACCTGTAAGCTCCCCCAGCTCTCTAACCCAGCAGTATATTCTGAGCTGACACAGTAACTGGTGTCCCAGCATGTGTTAGCGGTTCTTCCTTCTTCAGCTTTTGTGTGTCCAGGTGGCTCCCTTCAGAAATCTGTTTCCTGTTTGTGTCCTTGCTTCAGAAGCAAATGATCAGCCTTTACCAGTTCACTGCTTCAGTTTGAATGCAGTGTGTTCCTTTATGTCAGATATATTTATTTTTATCAATAGATGCTAAGTTTTTTCTGCTCAACCCATCTGTATACCTAAGTGGCCTGATTGTTTTTTTTTTTTCCGGGCTGTCTGTCTGTGTTTGGGGGTTATCAGCCCTGCCATCTAGTTGTATCTTGTAGTTGTTACTGCATCTCAGCTGAGCAAAATCCTGTTAGTTATTCCAGAGATGGAAGCACAGAGCTGTTAGTCCGAGATTGCAGAGGAATGGGTTGGATATATGCCTTCCAAGCCTATATGAATGGTTTTGTCCTCGAGAAGTTGTTTCCTCTTGCTCATTTTTCAGCAGTGCTGCACACCCAGCTGTTACTCAGCTGTCCTCAGTGGGGCTGCTGCTGGCTGGCACTCTTGGGAATGGCACTTTATTTACATTGAGGGTATTGGCAGAGCTGGAGTTGAGACCCAGCAACACATACTCATACACATTCAGCATCCCTTTGCCGTGTTGGGTTGACTGTTTTTAGAGTTGTTTTTATGGTAGTTGACTATTCTGCACCTCTGACAATGAAGCACTGAAAGTCTAATACTAGATAACTGTAAGATAAGACTCTCCAGATCAATGGATGCATCTTTTTATGCTGCTTCCACCTAGGATGAGCTTGGTCACCAAATTTTCACTTTGATTGAGAATTCCACATTCCTCTCATTTGCCTTTTTTCTATGCCCTCCTTCTTTCTTAGGTACACCAACCTCCTGACACCAGAAGTCTGGTCCAGCAGACAGACGACCTGTTAACTCAGCTGTCTGAAGAAGTTGCTATTGATGAGCGTTACAGACCAAGGATCCAACCTCAGGGTATCTGGTTTTGACTTCCAAAGACCTGTTTCTGTCTGATTATGTATGTGCTATAGTGAGAAGGGAATATGTACCTCCCTGTCTGGTGAGGTGCATCCCTATCTTACAGGTGAACTGGGCGTCCAGTTTGTCGTTATCTCCCTCTAATGACTCCCAGATTGACCAAGTCTGGTTCCATACTGGGTCTCATGGTCTTTGCTTGGAGATGTTTCCTTCTTCTAAGGGTTATATTATTCAGATTGCTTCTCTCTGTTTCTCCAAGGTGACCCTTCCCTGTGGAGGAGCTGTTGCTACTCCCAACACGCCTGTGCTCTGTGACAAAACACTGGAATCTGGAATACCACTGTCTTCCTCGCTGTGGTGCTTTCTCTGTAATCTCACTGTAAAACACAGATGAGCTCACTTTCTTCTCTGTACAGTGCAGATCCTACTGTGGCATGCCTTCTCCCATTATTCCACAGGTTAATGGAGAGCAGCATTGTACCATTGCTTTAACTGGGCCATCTGTGTGCAAGGCACTTTGCCGAGTCACCAGCATGTTCTTCATCTCTCTTTGCAGCTGTCAGTGGCCAAAGTTTGAACGATCTCAATCGGGAAAGTGAAGATTGTGTTTGCCCTGCAAATCTAGACCCGAAACAGCTAGAGGAAGAGAAGAATAAACTTCTGGCAGAAGCTGCTGCTGAGCTGCGGGAGGAGAACACTAGGAAGGAAAAGATCCTACAAGTTGCCAAGAGGCTGGCAGTGCTCAAAGGCGAGGACCCAGAGAAAGGTGGGTAGCAGATGAGAATAAAGTGCCAAGAGAGGGACGAAGTTCCTGTGGCAGAGTAATTTCTTTTCTGAGAAGCATTTATCCCTTTAGTTCCTCTGTTCTGCAAGAAACAAACACATTTGGTTTTGTCTGTGAAGTCGTACAGCCTGGTTCATCATGAAATCAATATGAAAGATCTCAGTTGACAGTAAAGGCTGGAGCTGTAAGGTCAGACTGCTTTGTGTTGCACCCTTCTTGTGGGGATTTTTTCCTTCCCTCTTCCACTGAGGGTGGTGATACCCTGGCACAGGTTGCGTAGAGAAGTTATGGATGCCTCATCCCTGAAAAAGTGTTCAAGGCCAGGCTGGACGGGGCTTTGAGCAACCTGGTCTAGTGGGAGGTGTCCCTGCCTGTAGCAGGGGGTTAGAACTAGGTGATCTTTAAGGGCCATTCCAACCCAAACCACTCCATGATTCTATGATTCTTTTAAAAACAAACAGTAACACCCTTTTTGAGGACTTTCCGGCTGAAAAGATCTGTCAGTGCCAGAGCCAGAATGCCAAAACCAACACAAAGGAATGTCTCTGGCACATAGGTGGGCACAAGGCTTGAGGCAGGTGTGGGTTACGGTCTCCTATCTCTTCCTCCTGCAGTTACCCTGGAAACCTATAAACTCCCTGACAGTGATGAGGAAGTGGCTGAGGAGGAAGCCATTCGCAGAGTGCTGAAACAGGTCAGAAGTGGCAGTTGTGGCCTTGTTTTGACTTCCTCTCGGTTGTTCCCAGTATGTATGTTACCTGGTGAGTGTGGAAAGGATGCGTTTCTATTCCTGGGCAGAGTTTCCTTCCGTCCTCTCCTACTGCTTTTCCAATACTACCTCCCATGGGCTTTTCAGCTACAGGCAATTGACAACATTAATTCTGGTCTATTACATTGTCTTTCTCATTCGTGTTTAGTGTCTCTTGTGGTGTCTCCTCTCCAACCCCGCTCTGTTGGTACTTCCTTACCTCTTGTTTCATCCTTTCCTGCACCCTGGCTGATGAGATGTTCTGTTTAGTGCCTAGATTTCTTTCCAAGTTGTCTCTGAATTGTCTTGCAGGCAGACACAAGCTCTCTGTGCTTAAGTTTCTGCCTGATCACAGATCCCACATGCATGATTAGCATGGTATTGAGGGTCTGCTGATAGCTGCGCTGCAAAGTAGAGTGTGTTAGCTGAAGGCCTCTGCTGCTGCACCCACTGTTCACACTGTACACACAGTGTTTAGAGTCAGGGCAACAGCAGGTGTACTCAGACTTGTCATCTCCTGTTACTGCATGAGAGCAAGGAGAAGGACTGGAGTTTTAGATCCTAGAGAATGAGTTTCTCAGTGGTGTTTGAAACAAGAGGCTTTGTGCTTTCTGTTACCAGCTCACAGAGGAAGCAGCCCTGGATGAAGCGAGTGGGTTCAACATTCCTCCACATCAGACCACCCAACCAGGACCCCTGCAACAGAACCTGCATAAGAAAGCAAAGCAAAAGGTCAGTGAGCTGGTCAGCATCTCTTGAACTGATGTATTCCAGGGTCTTGGGATTCTGCAGCAACAGTATGCTGTATCCTAGGCGTGACGCAGAAGAAAAAAATACCCAACCACCTTCTCCGGAGCAGACAAGCTGAGCGGCTTCTGCAAGGCTGATCAGCCCTGAGCACAGCTGGGAGTCATCCTTGTACTTTTAGAAGGAATTGCTCCCTGGACTACAGTTCCTCTCAGTCTGGCTTTCCACTAAATGGGATGGTGTCCTTTAAACCCAGAGAAGGTAGCATACACCTTGCAAGATGTCAGAGAAGGGTATCAGAGAAGGGATTTTTAACTATAATTAGAGCATGAAGGCCACGGTCTAGTACCACACAGCCTCGTGTAGGGTGTGAGGTTTGCCGATGATTTCAGCATGTGCAGAATACAACCTCTAGATAGCATTCGGTATTCTTATATAATGTCAGAGGAAGGAATTAGTAGCAAGATAGCCTATGCTCAGAATGGATTCCAGCCCATTATGGAAATACATACACCTTCTCTAATGTATATTATGAGAATTAAATGGGCCTGTGACTCATAGACACCTGACAGGCCTGACCCTGGTGGAAGAAATTATTTAATTGTAAGCATTATTGAAAACATCCATCTCATAGGTATGCCGCTTTGTTCTTCTGGGATTACTGATGCAAAAGATAGCATCGTCTTACTGCTGTTGTGTTCGGAAGTTGCCTTCACCAGTGTCTGGGCAGTGTCTGCCAGTGTGTGTGTGGCTGTTCAGCTCCACAAGAGTTCTCTGTAAAGCAGAAGGAGACAATAGATAGCTTTATGGATAGATTTTAAGTTATGATTTCTGAAGATCTTTTTTGGTCCAACCTCAGGTATAAATCAGTAGTAGGGGCCTTTTGGCAAATCGCTTCCTTTATCCCCCAGTTTTCTTTCATTTAACAGGGAGCAAATACCCCCTTCCCCCCAACTCCCCACTGCTTTCCCTTCCCACATAACTTCTTTCACCAAAACTGCTTTGATCACTTGCTTTTGCAGCGGGGACTGCCCACAGTATGGACACTGTTGTTGTGTATTGACAGTAAATGAGGGCGAATACCCGTTTACCTTCCAAGCAACATAGATTCAGAGCAAATGATAGGGAGTACCCTGGGTTTTTGTTTGACAATCTAGATACATACAGAACCTATCCTTGGGCTCTGGTCAAGTTCATCTCACAGACTTAGGATCAGCAGAGAGTGGACTATGGTCCATATGACGTGTCATTGAGGCCATCAGGCGTTACAAGGGAAGTCCTGGACTGTCTCTGCTGGGGTTTGAATTCTGTGTCCATGTTTTCTCTTTGTGCATTAGAGCCAGACTCCAACCCCTACAGCTCTTGCCAGGGCAGACAGCAGTGATGAAGATGAGTTACCCTGGTGCTGTATCTGCAACGAAGATGCCACTTTGCGCTGTCATGGCTGCGATGGGGACCTCTATTGCCAGCGCTGTTTTCGGTAGGTCTCGTGATACATCTTGATCTGAGAAGTGGGTCACAGGTAAGCTTGGATGCTTTTGTTTGTTCTTCCCATTGGGCAGAAAAACAGACAGCAGGAGGGAGAATTTGAGAAATCCGGGTCTGAGCTGAAGGCTGGTTGTTACGGAATTACTGATTGCGATCTGTGCTTATCTCAGGCTTCAGGGACTGATGCTAGGCAGAAATATTCTGCCTGTACTGCTCCAGTGCATACCTGGGCACCTTGCCCAAATGTTTTCTGAAGCAGCTGATGTGCTGCATTATGTGGGATGGGATAAATGAGGGCATTGTTCAGCAACTCCTATGGCTTGTTAATGGCATTGATGGGTGATCTGGGCTGGATCTCCATAAGAGGGGAGGTCAGACAGTGTAAATTCCTGAGGCCTTTCTTAGGTTGAGACTCTGCAGTCTTAAACCATGTTAAAACAATCTTTGGTATATGTATGGGCAAACCTTTTCTGCTCAGTCAGGCATTGCAGCAGCTGGAGTCTTGGATCTTAAACCACCTCTAGCTTGATTTTTGTCAAGAAAGTTGCATGTCTGACATTTGGAGGGTTAATTCCTTTGAATACAAATCTATGCCTCACAGCTTGTGTGACTTTTCTTTTTCATGCTTCAAAAGTATTAGGCAGTTGGCTGGGTTCTTGGATTAGCAGAATGACATTTTTACATCAGGATGCTAAGAATCTGGTTGGGGACAGTAAGAGATGCCTTTTGTTGAATCGTAGAATGGTTTGGGTTGGAAGGGACCTTAAAGACTGCCTAGTTCCAACCGGCCTGCCATGGGAAGGGACATCTCCCACTAGACTAGGTTGCCTGAAATCCCACCAGGCCTTGAATGCTTCTAGGTTGAATGGGGCTGGAAGGTGACATCTTCAGTAGTTCATTCAAGAGCTGGCGTGACAGGCTTTTTCCTGCTGTCCTCTCTATTTCACTTTCAAATTAGTCATGGTAGCACTATGCTTTTTGTGTATATGTGTATATTCTCTCATTTCCTGCAAATGTTTTTGAAGAGAGATGGAGATGCAGTGGGGGAAAACATGAAATTTGTAAGAAAATGTATGACTGGCAACGCTAAAGGGTTAAAACCAAACCAAACAAAAGTATCAGACAGCAAACACCAGTAAAAGCAGAATCAGCAGTCTGGCAGGTGAGTGAGTGTATCAGTTGAACGCAGGCTTGTGTCTTACTCAATACTCCCTGCTTCTACGCATGGTTAAGCAGCTGTGATTTAGCCTCAGCATTTATTTTCAGAGTTTTCTGGAGCACACTGTCATTTTGACTGTTGTCATAGTTGTTGCTGATATGCCTGGGAATCGGATGTGGTGCTGAAAATGAGCCATTAGTTACATGAATCTCCAAGAAGGAAGTAGACAGAGGGACCTACTGTCCCATTCCAGCAGGCAAGGATGAGCTGACCTTTCCACAGAGCACCTCAGAGGTTTCCATGACAAGCAAATATCTTTAGTCAGTCTGTGTGGCTGCCATTTGAGTCCTCGAAACAAAGCCTTGGGAGGGGTTTCTGGTTAAGGGCTGCTGGGAGACCTTTTGTGCAGTGGCTACGGGGGAGTTCCCTGCCCAGGTGTTGACATTTGACTGCACTTCGTGTTTGCTTCTCAGGGAAGGCCACGATGAGTTCGATCTGAAGGACCATCACACCTCCCGCTATCATCTTCCTTGCAAATAGAAGCGATCGCACTTCCTGGGCAGAAAAGGAGGCAGAGAACAGGAAGAGAGGGGAATCGGACAGATGAGAAGAGTCCAAGTGGATTTGCAACCAAAATGGGTGATGTTTTGGACATTTTAAGGGTGTGCTGTAATCTGAGAGAGGCTTAACTTTGTCCTCACAAATGCAACCAGAGAAGTGCAGGGTTTCCTGTGCATGCTTGGAGATAAATGAGGACTTGATATGAGGAGGTGGATACGAGTCTATAAATACAGACGGTAAGGCGATGTGGGGAGCAGTTAAGGTGTGTGTTCAAGGCAGGATTGACTGGCTGAGAAGTAATTTCCTGCTTTTGCTAACAGCTTACACACTGGTTCAACAGTCAGAAAAGCACTTTGCACTAAGAAAACTGTCTATGTGGTGATCACATGTGTGATGAGAACTTCCAAAGCAAAATAAAGACTATTTACGGAGGCCTGTGGTTAAAATCTCTCCTCACAATGCCTGATAGCCCTTTATGAAGTGTTGCCCCCGGGTAATGGTATCTTAGTCTGTGTTAAGCAGCTTAAGGGTAAGAAATGAAGGATTGTGAAGTCATCAGAAATTTTCTTGTGGTGTGGCTGGAAAAGGTGCAGGAGCTTATCTGCCTTGCTGGGCAGCGCTGCTCACGTCGTTGAACAGGATGATTTCTGAAGGTGATCTGCTACTGAGGCACAGTGTTGTGAGCCACAGTGGCTGTGCCGAGGTTCCACGTGGTCTGTGAGAGCAGCGTGTATTAGTCTGAAAGCAGGGTTTGGCTCTGTTTATTATCTAGTCCCCTGATAGGATAAAGATACTACTTGTGTGTTGCTCTGTATCTGGTGATGGGAGAAGCTCAGTTTAATATGCTGTTACCCCTCCCTGGAGACAGTCCAGATGCAAGTGACACTTGCCAGTGACCAGAGCACCCAGAATTGCTTCAAATACCCAACTAAACTTGCTCTAAATTGACTTTAAGATCCCATCAGGACAAGCACTCCCTAGGACTATGATGTGAGTTCTGAGACCGCTCTCTGAAGTTGACAAATTCCAGTGGCAAAAACCCCAAAAAACAAAAAACAAACCCAAGGGTTTGCCTTGGACAGGGAGTTTCCAGTGAATCTTGCCTGTCTGGTTTGACACTGCCGCTCCCAGGTGTCTGCCCTGCCCTTGCACTTCAGGTCACTGCCTCTGTAGGTGAGCTGACAAAACAGTGTTTGCCTGCATCTCAGCCACCCCTGGTCAGAGCACAGCAAATAAATTAAACTACTGCTGAAGACAGGGTTGTGCTAACCTGCCGGGCTGGATCAGGCCCTTCAACAGAAACCTGGGTGAGACAGTGTAGAATAATAATACTGCAGGTTAACACAGTGAAAATTGCAAGCGTATCTGGCCGTGCTGTCAAAACCCTTCGTTAGAAAGGGGTTTGTAGAGGATATTCCTTCTCCTGACGGTCTGTGTTTCACCAGTGCCTGTCTCTTTGGGACAGACAGGTAGAGAAACAACTTGAGCTGTGCTGATGTGAGAGCTCAGTATGAGCTGTGTGTGAAACAAAATTTAAGTAGCAAGTTACTGCCCTATGGAGCTTGTAGTCTAAAAAATGAAAGCAATATGCTCTTCTGACTTCGTGTTATTGTAGGAATGATACTTTTTCAGTACTATTTGACCTGGATAATTAGTCTGACACCAAGATAGCCCAGTTCTGTCTTGGGTTAAAGCCTTTGTGTTTTGCATGTATAGGAGAACATGCAAATAATTGCTCTTACATCTCTTCTAAGATTGATCCCCTCCTTTGGATTTCAACCTGTCCTTTCAAGCAGTTAGTAGACATTTTAATGCTTGCTTTATGGATGGTTTTGGTTTTGTTTTGGGTGGTATTTTTTTAATCTTAGTATGAGCTGGTGCACTACTTGCAACAGTTTTGAATGCTTCATCAGTCACAACGGAGCTTTGAGCTCCTTGTGCAGTTAGGCAGCCTGTGACTTGTAAACCCTGCCCAGTTCACATCAGTAGTAAAGGAGCAGTTTACAGACGGAAGCAGTTTTAATTTCCCAGGCTGGTTTCTGTGGGGCCATCCCAAGGCATCCAGAAATGCACCCAACCCAACACCTGAAATAGAACTTAGTCATATGTGGAAGTCTCTTCACACGCATGCTGATGCTTTCCCCGCACCACTAATGGACATTTTTGTGGCTGCTGAGCTTTCTGCATGTAATTGGCCGTTTTAGTGGCAGCCCAATCACTTTCCCCTGAAAAGCCATTCCCACTGTAGCTGTTGCCTCGGTGATTTCTGCGTAGAAGGAGTATCTAGATCAGCTGGCAGGAAGCAAACCAAGCTGAACCCATCACTGTGAAAGAGGAATTTTCCTTCTAAGCAGGCAGCACGCTTTTAGCTGTGTTGCTTACTCCCTGTCCTTGTCTTTGAAAAGGTGCAGGTAAACAACTAAAGATAGTGGTAAACAATTGATTTCTGACAGGCCAAATCAACTTCAGTCATAGCCATTCAGGCACTGAAGAGAGTTTGGCATCTTCAAGATAAAGAATAATTTTTTTTTGCTTCTGTCTTTGTAGCGTGCCAAGAGGTCACAAGAAGATTTTCTTTCCCTCTCAAAACATTTTGTATGTGAACTACCAAATGTCAGCTCCACCATGACAAAAATTCAAAACAATAACATAAGGCTGAGCTCAGATTAGCTTACAGAGAGAGGTCTCAGCTTAGTTTAACTGCCTGAGCATGCAGTTGTGGTTTACAAGCATGCACCTTGTCTCAAGTTCTCTAACGTGGTCGCATGTCCAAATGTAGCAGGCAGACTGTTTTTAAAAGCAATGTAAGCGTTGATCATAACTAAAGGGAAAATTGCATTAGAGGTTATTTTATATGCCTTCAATTAGAAAAGCACATGAACTGTAATACAATCTGAGTTATCCTAGTATAATCAAGAGGGAAAAGTTCCTTTAAAGAAACATTCTTACACAGCATCTGCATACCAAACATTAATAGTGATGGTTCTAAAAAACAGTAAAGTTAACTGGAAGCTGTTTGGGAAAAAAAACCAAACGGGTCTTCTTGTGTCAGAACCGACTGTATGTTGTAGGGGCTGCAGCTTACGATTTTTCTGCTACTTGGAATAAGCACAAAGAGAACTTCTGTCAAGCAGAGTTTCAAGAACCTACTTTTTCTTAGTTTCTAGCAACATCTTCCTTAAAGCAAAAATTCTCTTTATGTCGCTCCATACTGAGGGAATACAGAACAATGCCTGAAGTGGAGGCAATCTATCTCTTGGGCCATGGGAGAGGCATCTCAGGTCTTTGTGCTGTCACAGCTCAACAGAATAAAACAGCCTCAAGCTGGATATGTAATTAATCTGGACTCCTATGCACTACGGTGCTGCAGCTAATTACTGCTCTAGTTTAGAACACTCAGTTCATGGCCTGTCCGCCTAGATCTTCCACCTGAACTTCTGTTTAAACCCAGTCTGTGTTTTCAACAGCGCTCGGAGCTCTTTGTCAGTGTGCTGCTCTCCTTTTTCAAGGGGTGTGATACCTGAGTCTTAGCAGGTGTGAATCCATGAGCAATGCCACATCTAAAACCCCTGCAGCTCTGGATTCAGTTTTGTTGTTATTTGATTTAGAAAGTGGAGGTTTCAGGTGGGCAGGCATGTCCAGTTAGCCCCTTACTAAGCCAAAATTGGCATGTCCCTAGGGCTACAGTAGATATATGTGGACCTGGTAGAGAAAGAATGTTTCTCCAACACAGAGGATGAGACTTTAGAGCCTCTTGGAGCAGCTTCAGGACAAGGTATGAGCTATATGACTTGCTGACTGAGGATTTTGTCCTGTTAGAGATGCACACAGCCCACATCTTGTTCACTGACACTTCTGCTAGAAAACAAGAGGGATGCAAAAGGTGAGTCATCACCCTGTTACTGATAATGATGAAAAAGATTGGTGTATTTGAGGTATTACTGGTGCAGCCCAGGAATTTTTGTTAGCTAATCTGCATATTCCCTTGGTTCCACAGTTGGCTTCTTCTGTCCCTGTCTGACAAAACATGTACTCAAAAGTTAGCCTTGAACAGACTGGTACGTAGGAGCCCGTCGGGATGTGACTCAGCAACTTGTCTCTTGTGTTTGAGCAGCAGGCAGGAGAATCTAGGGGCAGGACATAACGTGAGAGTCTGCTCTGCCTCTGCAATCTGCCTCTGTTTGTTGTCTTATTTCCTAGCCACGTGTGTCAGGTTACTGACTTGCTGAGGGGCTGGATGTAGTTTCCTCTGTATTATTCCAGCCGCGCGTTAGTTGTAGCCAGAAGAGTTTGTGCAGTGTGAGAGACAATGTGTCCTGCTTCACTTCTCATTTGTGAGACATACGTATCTGCAAAAGACTTGCTCCGAGATGCTCCCTGCAGGGAAATTGGGAGCAGGTACTTTTTCATTTTGGTTTTTCTTCAGTGTCTAAAAAGAGAGCAGAAGCGAGCAGTGCACAGCTGGTTTTCCTCGTTTTAATATGCAAAATAAGCATTTTTCCAACAAGTTTTTAAATTATGAGAAATATCATTCCAGACCTCGGTCCTTTAGAAGACACTTCTAAATTATTAAGTCCACATCTAAATTCCACAAAAAGAAGCAGCAATCTCTCTTCCATTAGGCTTAGCAACTGTCCACTAACTTCCCTTTAAGTAGACTGGGTGTGCTCAGACATTTTCCTTCCATCCTATCTGTCCAATCTTCATGAATAACAGAGGCTTAATAAGGCTTAAAAAATACATGCAATGCTGAGTCAGTACAGCAGTAAGGGGCAGGAGGTCAGAGCTGGCTCACAGCCGGACTGAACGAGGGGGCAGCTCAACAGTAGCTGATTTTCCGTGTTGATGAATGAGTGATAACCAATGCCGTGTTTCCCTTGCAGTGGACAGAAAGAAGTCTTGATGATCTCCTGCAAATTGTATTCAGTGCTCCTCAGCCAGCATGGAAATTCCTAGAAGAAACTAAAGGAAGGACATCTTGTTCTGTTCCCCAGCTTAGCATGCCCCTTAAAAATCAGGGAAATATACAGTCTAGCTCCCTGCTGTGTACATAGATCCGAAAAGAGTGGAGACTTCAAACCACTGGTACAAAGTTCACAAACTTGGTGATGTTTCTCGGTAACAGTAAGTTCTAAACGTATTCTGAAGTGATGTTGCTGATCCTGGGTTTTGTAGGGGAGTTATATGTTCGGTGTTCCATGTGGGCAAGGTCATTTCTTCTGAGGATTGGTGACTTTCCGGAGACCTTTCAATCGACTGAGCAATTCCGTGATGAAGTCCTACAATGAGAAT